ATATATATATATATATGGTTTCCCCGTTTCAGGTACTTGGAGGGGCCAAAGAGAAAAATAGAGATGGATTCGTCAAAGCTAATCAAGAAGGGTTTCGTTTATAAATATGATACCAAGATGATATTGGATGATTCCCTCAGTTGTGTGAGGAGAATGGGTGACCTATAATAAACATTGTTGCTAGCTTGATTATAATTATTTTCTTGTTATTTTCCTGGAACTAATATCTAGGGTTTATTTTTCCATAGCACAATAAAGTTTCAATGACATTACTTATTTGTACATTTATTTTATGCTACTTTCACGTCAATAATTACCATAAATAATAATCATAATTACAATAAGTAATTACATAAAATGTACAATCATATTAATTGTTGGTAATAAATACAATTACTTGAAAAATCAAACGTAGCAGTAACATAAAAAAATAAAAATAAAAACTAGTGTTGGTTTTAATACTTTTTTATTAGTGATATAAAAAAAATTAAGCATTTTGTTGTTGGTTATTGGAATGTAAATTACGTGATCACCATGTTTTCTCCTATTGGGAGATTGCATTTTGTACTATTGGGATGAGTAATAAAAAAAATGTCATCAGTTGATCTTTGTACGCATATATTGTACCATAAGAGTCGTTATTGAATCCACCAATTGTTCCATCCAATCTGTCATATTAAATTGGATTGGTACGTAGGATTTTAAATTAATAACAAACTAAGAGTTTCCAAATTCAAAAGACAATTGGACTACAGATTAAAAATATATTCCCCTTTATTTTATAGATTCGAATTATAATTGTTCAAACTATTTTGCTACAGTGTTTAATATCTCTCGCAAAATTTAAATTTTTGTTTAAACTTTTCCATTCAAACTTATGAACCAAACATGACTATAATATATTCCTAAGTTTTATAAAATAAATACCGCCCTCCCCCACCCTTTCTTTTCTTCCCTTTTCCCTTGACAACTGTTTAAGTTTCTAATTTCTAATTTTACAATGAAATTAAGAGTAAATTACAATCTTTACCCTCTAAAAGTGATTAATACATTTTTTTTACAAATATAATTATTTGACAAAAGGGTGTTAATAAAGAATAAAGGATAAAAATTTAAGACCATTGCACTTTAAGGGGCATTTGTCACCCATGAATTAATTATGACTTCTAGTGCAAAATACGCCTAAAACAATCTTAATTTAAGAGGCCCAAATAGTAGGTTCAATCCATGAAATTCAATGTTTTTTAATTGAGGAAAGTAGACAAAAACTTCTTAAAAGTGTATAAATTTGAATTGTGACTCCTCACTTTTGATTAATATTTTTTTAATTAAACAACTATATTAGTCAAACGGGTATTAATTAAGTATAAATAGTTAAATAATTTTCTCTGCTCTTACATATTAAATGAATTGGATTTTTCCCAGTTCAAATGTATCGGGTTCAATATTGTTGAAAACAATATCCTTTTGTTAGTAGTTGTCGTTGCTTGTTTATTGATGATATATATTTAATTGAGACTAAGGGGTTGTTTGGTTGGGAGATTCATACCCCGATTCGAATCATGATTCATAGTTTGTTACAGTATTTTTTCTCACAAAAAATACACGTAAATCGAAAATGATTTTAATCTTATGATTCTAATCCATGAACCAAACGTCTCCTAAGATCCTCAGTCTCCAAGCACCCTTCTCTGTCTCCGGCCAATAAATTAGACCACATCACCCAAAGACCACGTCAATTAAAATTTTATTCATGTCAGCAAAAATACCAAATCCCATCATTAATCCTACCTTAATGTTTCTTCTTCTTCGTCCTCTTTCTTCACACCTTGCTTAACTGGTAGAGCATTCCCGTCACGGGCACAAAGAGGGCTCCAAGATGCAACATTTAATATTTCACAGATTACTAAAAATTGAAATCATAATTATGTAAAACACAGTAATCAAAAGATTAAAAAAAAAAAGAAAAAGAAAGAAAAGAACCAGTAAACTTAATTAAAAAAATAAATAAAATTGAAAACTTCCCAAGAACTCACAATAGAAGAATTCGTTTGCATCCAACCAACCAACCAACCAAAATCACCAAAGCAACCATGAAAAGGTATACGAATCCACAAAAGCCAACATCAGAAATTAGCATCCAAAAAACGATCTCTGAGATAAGAGAGCGGGTCCAACTTAATTAAAAAAATATGAGACCATTTGAATCACAACTCAATTTTTGTTATAGTGTTTTTTTCATAAAAATTTAAATTTAATTTTTTCTGTTACAGTATTTACTCACATAAAGTCACTTCTCAATTCAAATTAAAAACTCGCCTTAATTTTTATCGGTTGTCGAGACATTTTCCCAAGAAAAAAACTTAAACTTTTGTTAAAAACTTAAAAAGAAAATTAAAGACCTTAACAATTCCAGGAAAAAAAAAAAAACGAAAACAATCTTTTTATTTTTAATTATCTGATTCCTACAAATCCTAAAACAACATAACCTACCCAGAACATCAAGCTAAAAAAACCACATAACCAAAATTTAACAATACATTATTCTAAAAAAATCTTCAAAATTCCTACGCAACTATTTTCTTTAAAACTCCCGCAGTTTTTTGGGGTGACTTTATTGAAAAAAAAAAAAAAGCGTTTGCGGAGAAGGAAATATATATTGAGCCTTGCAAGTTGCAAAGTGCAAACAAAAATGGAAGCCACTTAGAGGTGGTAACCTCTAGCTTGGGGAACTCTTCCAGAACGTAGAAAAAGCTTAAAAAGAGCATCAGAATTCCTATCCCCACTATACACGTCGTTTTGATTTGTTAACGAATCTCCTCCACGTAAAAGAATTCTTTTAGAAGAAAAAAATAAGTAATAGAAAAATTTGGGGAAAAAAATCATCATTAAACGAATCTCCTCCACGTTAAAAGAATTCTTTTAGAAGAAAAAAAAAAGTAACAGAAAAATGAGGGGAAAAAAAATCATCATTAACAGTGATGGAGTCAGATTTATTAGTAGGGGTTAAAATTTTTTTTATCAATATTATACTAATATGTTTATATGTGTAACAATTTTTGTTTATTAAATGTAAAGAGCTATTAATTTAACAATGTAATACCAACAAACAATATCATAGTCTGTTGTATAAAACAGAGAGTCAGAGGTCAAATTAGAATTGAGTGCATAGTTCAGGGTCCATGTGCAAAAAAAATCCGAAGGTCTCTATTTTCACATCCGTCTTACCTTCTATCTCCCGAGCCCGCCTTTCCTTCACCCCACACGTCTCTCTAGATGATACAAAATTATAGTCTCCTCATAAATGATCACCTATGTGAGATAAAATAATAGAAAAATAATGATAATGTTGGGAATTAATCTCGTTTTTATTTTTCATATTTTTTAAGAAAAAAATAAAAATATTTTTAAAATAACGTTTGGTGTAATAAAGATAAAAAATAGAAAATGATTTTTTGATTTAGTGTAAAATGAGAGAGAAATGAAAAATAATTTTTAGTCATTTTTCATGTTTTATATTCGTTTTCTCCTCTCTCAAGCAGAGAGAAAGAGAGAGAGATATTAATGAGTTTTTTTATACTAAAAACAATCTCTTCATAAAACTACCAACCGCATTTTTAAAAATGATTTCTGTCTGAGATTAAAAACGTTTTCATTTTTATTTTCATACAAAAAATAAAATTATTTTGGAATGAGTTCCAAACGCACTCAATATTTTGTCTCGTTATTTTTGTCTATGAAAAATCCTTATTAAGCTTTCAAAATATATAAGAACCAATTAACAAAGAATTTATTAACTGGAAACAAGAAGAGATCAGTAGAGAATTGGGTCAATATTGCAATAAAATAAATTTAGATTGATGGAGAAGATTAGTACCAGTGGCTGCAAAGTATGCGTTACGGGAGGTGCAGGCTATGTTGGATCATGGCTTGTCAAGAAGCTTTTAGACAAAGGATACACCGTTCATGCAACTCTAAGGAACTTGGGTACGTAGTATTGTATATATCTCTCTTTAACACATAGTACTTGAACGATCAATGATTTTTTATTGATCTTGCAATTTGACTTAAAAGCTTAATTATTATATACCGCCATGAATTTCAGATGATCTGACTAAGGTAAGCCTTTTGAAGAGCTTTCCTGGCTCGGAGACAAGATTAGTGTTGTTCAAAGCCGACATGTTCAGACCGGAAGAGTTTGAGAACGCGATTCGAGGTTGTCAGTTCGTCTTCCATGTCGCCACTCCCTTTGAGAAAACTCCTGGATCTCAGGTTTGCCTACTAATTAATTATTAAGGCTTCGTTCGTTTCGTGAATTCAAGTTTTCAATTCGAGTTGAGATGTGATATTTTTTTAAAGCTTTTAATTGTACTAAAGAAAATTAAATGTGACATTTTCTGAGAATTTTTAACTGTAGAAACTTAAAATTAAAAACTCGAATCGATAAGATGAACAAGGCATAAATTTTAATTTGTCTATGTCTTTACATCATGTGGCAATATTTGTTAACGGTTAGACTTGAAAAAAAAAAAAAAAATCTAAATCAGTACAAGAGCACAAGTGATGCTGCCGTGGCCAGCGTGAATAGCATAGCAATAGCGTGTAAAAGATCAGGAACCGTGAAGCGCTTGGTGTTTACGGCATCTGTGTTTGCTTCGTCTCCGCTGAAAGATGACGGAAGTGGTTTCAAGGACTTTGTGGACGAAACGTGTTGGTCTCCTTCAAATCTTTCTATTCCTTATGGTAGTGATTTTTTAAAGGTGCTAACTTTATCATTTAACTTTGTATCTTTTCCTTTTTTTAGTTATGTCTGTTATATATTTTCAATGAGAATTTTATGGTGGGGTTGATACTGTATTGATAGGCTCTGTTTTGAACCATTAAATTAGTATCTATTGGTTTTGTATTTTTTAAAAAATTTTATTTTGATGTAATTTTTACCAGACACAATAATAAGGAATATACAGTACTACCAGTAAATAGAGTAGTATTCCCACGCCGTAGAAAGCTCCTAATTTTCAAACACAAAACCACTTGTTTTAGACAATTTAAAAATACTCATATAATGGTGACCTAAATTTCACGTGTAATATATATATATATATATATATAGGCCTATCAAGATTCAAAGATACAAGCAGAGAAGGAAATGTTGAGGTTTGGAAAAGAAAATGAAGACGAATTGGAGGTTGTATCCCTTACATGTGGTCTTGTTGGAGGTGATACACTTCTATCCTACACGCCCGGCTCTGTGGCGGTGACAATTTCTCAGCTCACAAACAACGCAGCACATTACAGTTCAATAACGTATTTGGAGGAGTTGATGGGAAAAGTGCCATTAATACACATTGATGATGTCTGCGAAGCCCATATTTTCTGCATGGAGAATCCATCCGTCCAAGGAAGAATCTTATGTGCAAGCTCGTTTGTCGCGTCTGCAGAAATTGCTAGCTACTTTCAACAGAATTATCCTCAGTTTCACGTCAAGCAAGAGTGAGCAGCTGTTCTTCTTCTTTTGTTTTTTTTTTATTTTTTTCCCCTCCGTAAGGCCTCTTTATCAACACGGCCAGTTTTTAAACGTTAATTCTAGTTAACATCACATGAGATTAAAAAGTATGCAGAACGAATAATTTATAATACATATTTAACTGCTGAAAATAAATAACTATCAATAGTTTTTTTTTTTTTTTTGTCCTACAAGAGAAACTCTATTTTTATTTTTATTTTTTGTTTTTAACAAAACTTATGGTAGGAACTACATTATTTTCGATTTGCAAGTAGATGCTGCTACTTTGACCATTAAAAACTTTTCAGTGATCTAATCTATGATTAGAAGCAGTTCTGCAGCGTACACTTAAATTTTTAACATGAATACTTTCATATCAGACTGTTAAAAATTTAATCCAACTGTTGAAATAGCAGTACCTAGCTGTAGAGTAAAAATGTCTGGCTTACCACAAAAGTTGTCTTCTTTTCAAAAATTTTACAAGTCTTGTATTTCAGTGTAAGCGCCTTACTACGCGTGCTCAAATCCTTGTGTATATTTCACTAACCCCGTTTAAAGTTTGTAGTAACTTATAAAGTGTCAAAACACTTTGTAAGTTTTCCATGGACAAGTGAAACTTGGTTGTCACGGAAACGACACTTTCTTTAATTTACATTTCAACAATAACACTTTTTATTCAAATCATATGACATGATATTCACAAATGTGCAGTGCTACTATAAAATAGTGTTTCTTTTCAGTAGCAAATTTATCAAATACTAGTAGAATTTCAGGTTGTATGGGTTTCATCGTTTCAGGTACTTGGATGGGCCGAAGAGACAGATAAAGTGGGCTTCCTCAAAGCTAACTGAGAAGGGTTTTGTTTACAAATATGATATGAAGACAGTATTGGATGATTGCGTTAGTTGTGCCAAGAGAATGGGTGATCTCCAAGAATAAATCTCCTATTTCTAGCCTCATTATTTTTGTCACTCTTTATTTCTCACAAAAAAAAATATTAGTATTACTATTTTTATCACTCTTTATTATTTTTTATATTTATTAATATATTATTATTATTTTTATTATTTTTTTGACATGTGGACTCTACTAATCTGATATATTATTATTTAAATAAAAAATGAGATAGTGAAATCTACGTGTCAAATATTGAATGTAAAAAGTGATTAAAAAATAACATAAAGAGTGATACTAACATTTCTCTTTCTCATAGTCTTTTTACTTGAAAGAGAACGGACACGCAAAAGTTTGTTAGAGACTTTTAAGGGCCGTTTGCTTTGCAGGTTTAAATTGGTGGGTTTAAACTTTTAGAAAATGTTTTTTGAGTTTAAACTTATATGTGGATTCTTTGTAGTTTGAACTGGTATTTAGTAGTGTAAAATTTAAACTGAAAATAAAAGTTTCAACCAGTATTTGGTCAATAGAACTATGAGTTTTTAAAGAAATGTGAGTGAAAATAATTTATGGGTATCTTTGAATTAGGTTTATAAACAGTATTTTAGGTTAGAACCTTAAGAGAGTAAAGCTCTAGAGAGAGAACCTTTGATTTTAGGTTGAAATGAACCCAAAATTCAAAATCAAATTTAAAGTTTTTACAACCAAACATGGGTTTTTGGGTTCAAACCAACTAAACTTTTCAAAACCTTCCAAACAAACAGGCTGTAAGAAAGAAAAAGTTCTTTCGTAGCCTGAGGCTCTGGCTTACATCACTCTGTTTTGTATAGCTTAAGGGGCGTGAAAATTTAGGCCCCGTTCACTTCGCTGATTCGAGTTTAGAATTCGAGTTTTTCTACAGTAAAAAGCTCTCACAAACAATCACATCTAATTTTTTTGCTACAGTAAAAAGCTCTCACATAAAATCACATCTCAACTCAAATTCTAAACTCGAATCAGCGAAGTGAACGAGGCCTTAATATCTTTTCTCTATTATTTGATGCAAAGTATTATGATGAACAAACAGAATATATACTGGGTCAGTATAATATACGTTATATTGTCATTTGTTACATGTATAGATGACAGGCCTTTTCAGCAGTTCCAAAAATTTGTGCCACAGAGAGGGTACCACAAGTTATTTATTGTGCATAGTACTATCTATTGTTAGTGTTATTATATTAAAAAATAATGTTAAGAACTTCAACACTAATCTTAACTTTTTAATACTAATTTATATGGTACGTGAATTGTCATTCTTTTATTAATAAGTGATTTAACAAGTGTTACACCAATTAATATTAAAAGATTGCAACTGCACTAGTTAAAATATACCAACTCAATACCAACTGAGTTAGCCTAAAAAGCTTAGATTAAAAATTGAGTTTGGATAGTACTTTATTCTAAAAAAGCTTTTCAAGATGTCGGTATCAAAAAGTTTAGATTGTTGATAACCGATTTTGTATCAGGTCCATCCGAGGGTCCAGTTCCAACCATGGCGTCACGTGACGTTATTGAGCTCACTTTGTGGACCCAAGTCACGCTCGGAGAACTCCCGTGGGTTGTGGTTTGGTGGGCCATGTGTGATCAAGTAGGCCCGTTTGTCGTTTAATTCGATCAAATTTGAATCTCACTTGGGGAGTTTTCAGAACTAGTCTGATTAAATACAAATGGGTGATGGAGAATTTCCAAAAGCCTTCCTCCCGTCCTTTTAAAAGCCCAAAATTCTTAAGTCCACACCTTAAAACCTCTTCCTTTTCGTCAATGTTGATTCTCGGTATTTTGACTCTAACGAAGGCTCTACCCACACCAGAGATGCGTAATGGAGGCTTCTTTCGTGGCAGGCATCCTTCCTTTTGACTTCTTCTCACCCAGCTCACCATCAGAGCAATCTTCGCTTAGAGCCCTTTGGAGTAGCTTCACCTGGAGCAGCCTTCGTCTAGAGCATGCTCACCGTCGGAGTAGCTTCATTCGGAGCAACTTTCATGTTAGAGCCAACTTGATGGCTGCTTAGCCAATATTGTGTAAACCATCTCTGATAAGGTCTGATATGCGATGAGACCTCCGAAAGAGGAAGTCAACGGAGCATGAAGTTGAGTCAAACACTCTTGAGAATTTCAGACCTTGGAACTCTTCACGTTAGCTTTAAATCCGAAACTTTGCCTCCAAGTCTTTCCATTTTTGGATATTTCCTTTTTAAATCCAGAAAGTCACCTGACAACTTTGCTCCAAAGGAAATTACGTGTGCAATTCTCCGTCAGAGCACCACCGATTGAGCTTCTGAACAACGACCATGAGCCTTTCTTTCCATTTTTGAACTAGCTCTTCTTCAATCCCGGAAAGGCTTATGATGACTTTACTCCATTTGGATCGCGTATGCATGCTTCTTTTAGAGAGCCGCCGATTTACTCCTAGAGCAAGTTCCCAGAAGTCTTCATCCATTTTCGACTAATCTTCTCTTCAACTCCAGAAAGGTGTCAAAAGGCTTTGCTCTATCGGGGTTGCTTGTGCGGGCGTCTATTAGAGCACGCCGGACGAGAGGTAAACCTGAAGACCCAAGAACTTTGAGCCCACCTTTTAACTCCTATCATCTTCTAAAAGCTCTCTCATTTTTCTCATATCACTCTCTCTAGTCTTCTTTAGTCTCTTGCTACAGAGACTTGAAGTTCTTGAAGTTCTTCAAAGCTCCAAGTGTTGACAATCTTGGAAACTCTCCCAAAACACTTTTTGATCCATTTCCACTACCATCACAAAGTTCTTCGAAGTTTCTTTACACATTTTTCGGCAAAGTTCAAGTCTTCATTTTTAGGGTCACTTCCGCTCACCGTTGGAGCAAGTGCTCCGAGCATCATTCTCACTCCAGAGCGACACGCGCTGCTCTTGGAGTTCTTTTCACCAGAGCCTTATCCACCGCACCAACTTCACTCTCACTCTCCAACAAGCCTTATTCACCACTAAAGTCACCATATTCGCTTCTCGAGCAGCCCACACTTGTTTCCAGAGCACTGCTCTATCAACGCACATTCGGCCTCTTTTTCTCCATCTCCATCAACTACTTGATCGCACCTCCCACCATTCTTCATCTTCGAAGTTCTTTTATTTGTTTTGCGGATTCTCTAACGTGTTTTGCAGAGCATTTTCGTCATTTTGGCAACAAAGAGGGTCTTAAGACACATGTCTTTTAGCATAATTTGAGCATAACTGACCACTTCTTCATCGGAGGTCCCGCCATCATCATCTACTTCGAAGCTTGACCATGTCAAATCCGCTTCCGACAAACCGTGTACTTAATCGTGTCAACTCCCGACACGTCAACCTTTCGAATCTACCGGACTCCGACAAGATTAAAATTGAATCTATCTAATATTCTATTTCAAATAAGATTTTCAAGTAGATGTTGAATTTGGTCTCATCCTCAAAAAAGAAAAAGGATATGTTTTAAGGAATCATATTAATACAAAAATATAAATACCTTTACGTTCTTGAAATAATGGTTTTACATTCTTTTAGACTTAGTAAGGATTTGGTTATTTTGTAATTATTCTTGGTTAAGTGGGTAAGTCAACCTGTGTATGTATAAATAGTGCTTTATCAGTGTATTTTGTACACAAGTTCATTATTCTAATGAGAAGTGATTTTTCCTTCTTCATTTGCTTTTGCTTCCGTCATATGGTATCAGAGCAGGCCCAATATTGTAATGTTGGGTCCCCCAATATCGACTTATTCGCAGCGGTTTGGCATGGTTCACGCTGTGCGTGAGGGGGCGTAATAGAATCCCACATTGGCTGGAGATATTGACATGATCCACTTAATAAGGTGAGGGCAATCCTCCCCGAATAAGTCGGTTTTGTTAGGTTGAGTTAGGCCCAATATCATTTGATTTCTGTAAAACATTCAGATTTTAGAATTCATATCTAATAAGAGTTAATTTATTGCTCGAATCAAATAAGTTAAAGTTGACAAAAATAAAGATTTTGTTTTTAATCAATATATTATCCTTATTATTGTGTGTTAGGGAACATAATCGGTAATATTCCCTTCCAAATGAATTAGATGAGAGCCTACTAATGTGCGCCAAACTACTGGGGCACTTTTTGTCTTACCAACTATGATTTTTCTGAGGATTCCAATAAAATATATGTGTTATGTTGTTGATTAGAATAATACTTTTGTTAACTTTTGTGCCGCAAACTCAAAAGAATTGTTTGATCATGAATATCAAAGCAGTTTATCACACTTCAGAATTGACGGAGATTTTTTACTTCCAGTCAGACTAAAAGTCTGAAAAAAAAAAAAGGAGCTTCACATCTGAATTTAGTTTTACTATCTAAATTCTAAGGAGAGAGGAACACTAGTCACTTTCTTAAACTGTCAAATTCCTAAGAGTTTTTTTGTAAGTCACAGATTTGTATGAACACTCATCCATTATTTTTCTCATATGTATCCTAAAAAGCTGCATTTATTTTAGGGACACTGACATGAAGAGAAAAACTCAGGACTGTCAAAAGGGAAATCCAGTTCCAAATCCACCTTATCAAGTGTGAGATCCAAATCCCCGATTGGTGAGTTGGTGACCGAATTCGGGGTCGAAAGTATGTCAGTGAGATCAGATTCAGAGGTTTGGACATTGTTGTTGGCTAGTCCAAAGCTGCTCATATTGTGCCACGGTGAAACCGATAAGCTGGTCGATTCTGATCCCGCCGGAGATACAAACGGCGGAGAAAAAGGACCGGCAATGCCGTTCTCGACTATGTCGGAGAAGAAATCCCTCCCCACATTATCGGATTCAATTGGTGTGGAAAGGAAGGAGAATGGCTGAAATATGCCACGACCATCCTCAATATTATTTGTGTCAAAGTCCTCAGTTTTGACTCCAAGACCTGTTGCTTGTGGTTGCTTTGGCTTTTCCTCTTCTTGATCTTGTTCTTCATGTGTTGGAAATTGGTCATTGTTTTCTGCTTTGAGGCCGTGTTTGGGTAGTGAATTAGCTGATGCCATGGCGAGTTGAGGGGCCCGGCTACAAGTGTGGCGGCCTCTGTAAGTGACCTCAAAGAGTGAAGAGTCTTGGTCTGACCTTTGGACTTGCTTTGTGGCCAAACATCCTTGTGCATTTCTACGTGTACATCTGTAGTAGCCTCTGCAATACAACAAATAATCTTATGTCTTAGAAATATGTAAAAGACACCGATATGCTTGTGTAGATATAGTAGATACGTATATAATATTGTTTTTCTATATATATATATATATATATATATAATATTAGCTCTATTTGTAATAGTATTATAAAAACGTCGTATTTTAAGTGATTCTAATGTAAATTGACCATCTAAACTGGATACTATTGATTAGCTTTGAAGTCTTCTATTAATAAAAGAAAAAAGCGCAATCATTTAATGATAAAATTATGAACTATACTCCATCAATCTACAGTTGGTTTATATCTAGATAAAAAGGCATACACTCCATTTTTTTTTTTTTTTAACGATTTCTGGTTGTGTCCCTTCTTGGGTCGTATAAAAGACATAATTACCAGGAGGGTGAAATAAAAGTCTCTCTTTTCTTATTTATTATCCATGTGAAACGGCGAGGGTTGACGAAACTAATAGTAAGGTGGAGTTTGTCGGCGTGAGGCATTCTAGAAAATGAAGAAAATAAATAAATATTATATGTATATATATATATGTATAGTGACAGAGACTAGTTGATATTTTCAGTACCAACTTGTTCCTAATCAAGCCAAAAAAAGGTGGAGCAATCAAGTTGAAGTCTTAAAGACTAGTAAAAGGGGTTGTATCATACGAACGATCAGGATGTTTATTGTGCCTTGTCCACATTTTTTTGTATTTTATATTTTTGGTTTGGAGGCCAATGTATACCGCAACCAATTCAACTAATAAAAGCCCCGAAGTTAAAGACTAAGATCTCGTTTATTTTGTTGATTTAAATTTAAAATTTGAGTTTTTTTATAGTAAAAAATTCTCATAAATAATTATATTTAATTTTTTTATTACAATAAAAAATTCTCACATAAAATTACATCTCAACTCGAATTCTAAACTCGAATTAACGGAATGAACAAGACTTAATAAAAGCAATTAAAAGAGTAAAACTAACAAACCAATAATTAAGTTGTCAGAACCTAGTACTAATGAAATTGAGAGTCAGTGCATTGATCAGACTTCAGGGCCTGCTATTGGAGCTAGTACTATGTACGTGCTTTTTGGATAAGTTCAAGCACTATTTTTTTTTTTTACTTTTTCGTTCAAGCACTACTTTAAAGAATTGTCTTTCACATTTTATGCGTGACTACAAAAACCTTTTCTCTTCTTTCGCGTGCTTTTCTTGAATTTTGATACGCCATTTTGGGTCCGAAACCAATTATTACATGACAAGAATATGAGATTAAAGTGGTGCTAAACAAGCTTGAATACGAAGGGATATACGTCCACTTTAGGTAAAGCAGCAAATTAAAGACTTGTTTTGTGCGAAAATTCATGAAAAAGAAAAATGAAATGAAATAGAAGAAACGGCGAAAACTCCTCACCTTGGATGATTAGCTCCAAGTATGTCTTTCTGCCCATATTTTCTCCAGCTATACCCATCTTCAAGAGGCCCTTCTGGTCCTGTCCCCATACAAACCTTCACTTGCTCAGTCCATCTTGGCAATACTTTCCTAAAAATTCAAACCCAGATCCAAATCAGCAAAAAAAAAAAAAGAAAAAAAAAAAATCTCAAGAGGCTAAAAGATTCACCTTTTCTTGAAGACATCTCTGTGCTTAGAATAATCTTGGTCAAATATCACACTTCTTGGGCTAGTGTTGTCCAAGGAATGTGGGGATTCAAAAGGCTTGGATTGATCTGTACCAGAAGTTTTAAGCATTGAAAGAGCTTTTTCATAGGAAGATAGAATCTTCCCAACCAAGAAATTCCTTTTTTCTGGGGATGAAAATGGTTGGAGATGGTTCATAAGTTGCTTTGCTAGCTCCTTCCCTTGGATTAGCTCATTGATTAGAGTCTTTTGCTCCAAATTCACGGTTCTCTCCATTGAAACTGAAATGCAAAGAGGTTGTAGAAAGAGACTGGAGATGTATATAAACTATTGAAAAGAAGATTGGAAGTTAAAGCAATAGAAGCCAAAAAACTTGCTTGAGACCCAATTGGGCATGAAGTTGGAGTGTGTAGAATAATATCTAGTATGTGTTGCAAGTATTAAGGTCATTACCTAAGACAAAAGGAAGTAAAATGTGTGGGGATATATTATATAGTTACAAAATGTGAAGGCGAATTTGGGATAAGCTAGAGAGGAATAAAGTGAAGCTGGAGAATTGAGAATTTGATGAAGTGATACTCTTAATATGAAGAGGGTAAATGACTTATGTATGCCCATAGAAAAAGGAGTGCTTTTCTTAGTGGAGAAGGTGAGAGGAAGTGGGGGAGATATAAGGGGAGAAAAGAGAAGGAAAAAGAGCGATTTTGACTGAAGAAAAACGAGTTTTTTTTTTTTTTTCTTTTTTAAATAATTTTTCAATTTCTTTTTTTTTTCTTAACAAGCGGTAATGTTAATATTTATGACGTGCACCAATGGGATTATAGGATAGAGAAAAAAATGGTGAGAGAAAAAATCCAATTGCTGACCACTTCAAACGGCAATAACAATAGTACATAGAAAAAAAAATCACAATTTCTAATATTTCTTTTGTCTGGATCCCTCTTAACTACTGAGTAACAACGCGGAAGAAGATTGGAAGATTCTTTGGTCTCTCTCTCTCATCCCTTCTCTGACTGCAGAGTGCATGCATACCCAATAACTTCTTTTCGCCGCTAAATAGTACAAAAACAAATTAGAAATTTTCTTGTACGTGTATTTATAAGTTGAAGTTTTTTAACCGTTTAATTTACGTATTTTTTATTTTTTATGTGATTTTATATAAATTTAACAATTAATTGATATTTTTTAATTTTTATGTGATTTTATATAAATTTAACAGTTAATTAATTTATTAATACGTTAACGTATCAAAAAAGATTCTAAAACAAATTTAAGATATCAAAAATTCAAAAATATATTCATACCCAATAACTTATTTATTAATGAAATAAATAAAAAGTATGTTATATATATAGAAGTTACTGACGTAATGTGCAACCCCTTTGCTTACGTTTGATATTGATGATAGCTAACTTGGTGTTAAGAATTTTAAATCCAACTTGGGAATAATTAATTTGGACTCTCAATTTAATAACTAGTTAATATTTTAAACTGAATAGTTTATTCATAAAACTATATATCTCCACTTCATATGAGCATCTTCTGGTTAAGTGAGCAATATTTTAATAGTCTTTCAAAAATAATAATAATAATTAGCCTAAACAGGAATGTAAACTCGCCCTGAGTGGTGACTTTTTTTTGGGATTAAACCTTTAATTAATGACATGCTTATATTTTATGAAGATCGTAATATCCCGTCAAAGGATCGAGTTTATTTTCTAATAACCGCAAAAGACCTAATTATGACGAAATTCTTATAGTGAACAGTGGCAGGATTTAGTTTGTTAAACAATTTTTACTTGAATAACTTTGGGTTAAAAGAAAAGGGAACAATATGATCTTGTATTGATTTTTTTATTCACAAAACAGGCTCGAAATAACTATTTGTAAATGGTATAAATTAAAGCTATATATAGTCTTTTTTTTTTTTTTTTCTGTTTCACAGCAATATTATTACTCAGTTTGGAATTAAGATAACTTCATTGGAAAAAAAATAATAATAAATGGCATATAGATAATTGATCAATTTTATCTCAACTGAGGTAATTAGGGGAAAAAATTCCTGTTAATAGTAATTATCTGTTTCTGGCATAGAGATATCAGATTCAATCTGCATTTTTTTTTTTTTTTTAGGGTTATTTAAAAGTGGTGGACCTAACTTTGCATTGCCATTTATCTCGTTTGCTTGCTATTTCTTATAGGAAGTCCAAACTTAAGGTTGTTTTTCAACTTGTATATATCATAAAAACTTGCAACAAAAATAGACCACGCTTTTCTCAATCAATGACCTGTCCAACGACCAACACAGTGCTCATTTTATATGCGCATATTGTATTTACATTTTGTAGGTTAATTTATAATTTTTTTTAACTAGAAAAACATAATGGTTTCTTATATAGTGATTATTGAAGTTAATTGCATATATTATTGCAGAACACTAAGGTGTGAACGCGCGGTTGTTTAACATAAATTTTGCTTAGAGGCCACTAACTGTTGATTTGTTTTGCATGTGACACATATTTTTAAGCTTTCTACATGTTAATTACTCGGTGTAGCTTGCAACGTGCATCGGGAACCACAATTAATGTTAAGATACCTAATTAAGAAAATTCTAACTACGGTTTATGCAAGTGGTACATACAGTTGCAGTAATTTAGACGTGCCTATATGCATGAATGTCTATATTAGATATAGTATTATTCTTTGCACAAATTAATTAATCTCAGTTTTGAAGAAACAACATTTATATTATATTCAGAATATTAGCACTAATTAGAGTCTTATTAACAGCCAATTCCTTGAGATATAGATTTCCCTTTTTTGTGTATGTATTATATTTTAAACAACTTTTACATATATATATGTAACGTACTCAAGAATTAAACAAATTTAATTATGCTAATTGTGATTTATTAGTGTACCTAATTTGATTTTCTTAATTAATCAAGAACTTTTAAATCTACTTTTAGTATTTATAATTTCACCCCAAAAGTATGTGGGAATACATACCTCCACCCATTTTCTTTTAATTACCTTTCAGTATTACTTATTTCCTTATTTTCTTTTCTTTTCTTTATTTTCCTATTTCTCTTTCTCCACTCTCATTCTCTCACTCTCTCATCTCACTCTCTCATTCTCTCAATCTCTCAGTCTTTCTCTCTCTCTCGTGCATCTCTCTCTCTTACCGAGCTCTCTCTCTCTCTCGCTCATCTCCCTCTTCTTCTTTCCTCTCTCAAGCTTCACACTCTCTCTAAAAGGTTTTGAACCAGATTTGAACCAAAAAATGAGGATCTCCAAGAAGTTTTCAACCCTAACGCAAGGATCAAGGTAAATATTTAAAAACCCACTCTTGATTCGACTTTCTCTTGGTGATCTGGTTATTGGTTTGGATTTTGCTGAGTTTTGATTTAGTTTTGGTTTGAATGGATTTTGAATGGGTTTTGATGAAACCTTGATGAAATTTAGGAGTTTTTAATTCTTTGAACCCCATTTGTTGATTGGAACTTGGTTTTGTTAATTTCTCTTGAGAATATGTTGAAATCGAACCCGAAATTACAGGATTTGGCTTCGTTTCCAGCGAATCGGCCATTTTTGGCCCTGGCATCTCTCCCAACTGGTCGACCGATGGAGTTACACTCCTCTATCACCGGTCGACGGTTCACACTAAATCCGACCCTAAACAGTTTAAAAACCATGTTTTGACCCCGAAACTCGATGTAGAACCGACCTAACTTCATTTGGGAACTCAAAGTGAGTGGATTAGCCACATTAATCCTTGTTCCCATTCAATTTTCTGGAATGAATCCCAATTCCCAAAGAATCATGATTTGAATTAAGAATTATTTATGAACTTTGATTTTAAGTTAAGGCACACTAGTATGATACAATTGTATATAATTAAATTGTATTGTTTAGAGGAAATGATTAAACTCTAAACCGTTGATTTTGATGACGAAGCTAGTGGCACGATTGGACTTGGAGCTTGAAAGACAAGTAGAGCTAGGGCTACATTAAGATAGCCATAGGTTTGATATCCGAGAGGTAGGATATTCTTGTCTATATCCTTGATAGCCATGATTTAAATGATTTTGGCCTATGAAAATGTTTTAAAACAAAACATGTTTAAAGAAAAATGATTTTAAAGGAAATAGCATAAATAATGCTATTGAGTTTCCAATAATTTAGAAATGAGATTTTAAAGAGTTTTGTTTCTTAAAATGAGATATTTTAAGAAATGATAAAACTCATGATGGCCACAGAGATCGGGATATGGAAATCGTATCCTTGGGGACAGGTCTAGAAACGGGCCACTTCTTGCTCAGTGGTGATATTATGGCTTTGTATATTTTCATTATTTAGATATTATACTACTATTATGTGAGTATTTCTTTTCTTTAAAGGATGATCAGTTCCGGATGATATGTTTGAGCCGTGAGCACTTTCATTTATAAAGTTTAATAAAGTTATATCATACTGGGCCTTCCACTCACTTTTCTTGTTTCAAATGCATTTAACCCCACCAGGCGACGTGAGAAGTAGTGCTGAATAGGTAGCCACTACCGGTGAGGTGAATCCGATTCCGAGAAGTGAAGATCTGCACCTTCCTTTCTTTTTCCTTCCTACTTTCCTTGAGACATGTATTATATTATGGATTGTAAACTCAAATATTACTAGATTGTGGTTGATGTCAACATTTACTTTCTTGTTTATGTTCATGTATGCTAAACCTGTGGGGATTCCTGATATGATACCAGGGGCGAGGTTTTGAACTTGTTTTGTTGGAATTTCCACCACTTTCCTTGAAACGTAATTTCTTATAAATTGTGAGGTTTGTTTGGAAATATCTAAATATTTTGGATTTAAAATTTAATTTTTGAACTGTTAATTGTTAATCACTTTCTTAAGCAGGTTTAAATTTCTAAACAAGTCTCCACGTCACTAACCCCTGTTTGGGGGCGTGACAATATATAGACAAATTTTCAATTGCCCATCAAACATAGAGAAAATTATGTCAGTCGACATGCCCATTAAAATTTCTTTTATCTTTTTCACTTTTTTTAAATTCATATTGTAGGGGAATTGGAACTTAAAAAATAGAAATTAAGGCCTCAATATTCGAGTCAGTATGAAATAATTAGAATTACTTTTGAAGCCTAGCTAACTTAATTAATTACATGCTTATTTTAGTACCTCAAAAGAAAAATCTTATTTGATGATTTTAGCACATTTGGGAGCATCAATCACTCAATGTTAAATTAGTATGTCAATGCTAAATTTTAGTATTTGAATAAGAAAATTACCCTTTAATGCAATATTAATTTTTATGCTAAATTTGATACATAATATAATTAGTGCCAAAAGAACTAAGTATGATATTTGTCAAATTTTAACATTCTATTGTTAATATTGGTATTTCAAATTAAGGAAATAACACTAATATTGTACTCAAATGAACCCTAAACACAAAAAAGCTTTATCCTCAATCAAAGAATGGATTCACCATTAAGATCTAATGAAAGATACAATGAGGTAAAACCAAAATGTACTTAAATGGCTCTTTCAACTATACTTCTACGATCGATAGAAAACTCTAATCGATCAAGATTAAGACACTTGTAGCATAAAAGTCATCTAAAACCTCACAAAGAACCAAATCTAA